TATGCTGGAGGCCACTATTTCCCAGTAGTCCAACAGAGCATGAACTTTGTTGGTCTCGACAACATGTTGATCGTCCGACACTTGGGATGGCGGAAAGCGCCAGTTCTGAATAGCAACGTCCACGGAGGCTTCTCCCACTGGCCGAGCGTTCTACTTGGGATTTCCGCCTTGTTCCTTTTTTCTAGGGAATAGACTGGTCTGAAAAACTTCTTAATTCGGGAGCAATATGCCAACCGCATTGCTTCGTACGGATGCAGACATGGCGCTACCCCTTGGCAACTGCAGCAAGCATGCGACGCGAACCCACAGAATGGGATCGAGATCCTCCTCCTAATCGATGCTGGCTGATGGGCTACTGCTTGAGGGTTAAAGATGGTCGGCTCTCGCGTTCACCTACCAAAATAGCGGTCGTGGCTATCTTGAACTCACGCTGGTGGGCATATCCAAGTCCCAGAACGCTGGACTTGGCAATCTTGCGAATCGCAAGCAATCTTTGTTCAGTTCGTTCTTCGCAGAAACTCACACTGACCACCCTCAATTAACTAACCCCTGGGCCTGCCACTCCCCGGATCGCCCCTAGAACGGCGCATGAGAGAAACCTTCCAAGCGTCTTCCACCATGCTTCCATTCGCTTCAGCCCGCCTATCAGACCACGACGCCTCGGTGGCCACCCTCTTTTGCCAATGCAAGAAGCCGTTTGCAGGTCGACTTGGCCCGATCAACAGTGCACAAGTTTGCTCGACTTGGGTTTGCTTCTCAGCTGTCGTTTGTCACCACGGGGTCCATTTGCATCAGCACAATGCCGTGGCTATTGGAATGCCATCAAGACCAGTCGAAGTTTCGACTTGGACGCATCTCAGATCGGTGTCGTCTGCCCACATCGGGTCTTAAGTTTTGTCAATAATTCAACGGCACTTCCCAAACAGCCAAATAGGAGCATTTGTAGCAACAGAAGCCCCGTTGTGGCGGAGACCACTGAAGCAGCTTGTGTGGCAACATTGTTAGCTGCCGCCGCTTCAGGAGCCGTCGACGCTAACAAGTATTAACACTGCCACCGTCTGCAAATGCCGTCGTGCCGGTACACCCGTGGACGAGGGAAGAAGAAGAGGGTGGTGGAATCGCTCATGTCAGCACGAAAAGCTCTTCTCAGAATAGGTACACATAGCAGCAGCTAGGTGGTCCAGCACATGAGACATTTCTATCGCTCTCGACCATTGGCTCTGGTAACTTGGTCACGGTCCTCGCGTTGGACAGGTTACATCGCACTGCCCTCTGGTCTCTGGGAATCACTGGCAGGGCTGAAGAATCTGCCCGTCTCCAACCCTCGTTCTTCTCACCTTGTCCACCTCGTGGCACCGGAACTGTTGATACCCGCTGCGGTTTTCCTAAGTCTGTGGGACGGGATTCCAGGAACACCGGCTTCCATTCGTGTCGGTGGCCTGTATCTTTACGAATAGGTCAACTGCGATCTGAGCACCAGAACAAATTGGCGAAGCGACCAAGGAGCCCATGCTCTGATCATTGTTACAACGCCCAGAGAAATAACCTGCATTCCGTGGCTTCTCCACCCCGTCCCCCCCCCACCGTCTCCTCAAATGCCGACAGCGAACCAGCGCTCGAGCAAGCGCCCAAAGTCGGGGCTGCGGAGATGCCTTGACAACTTTCCAAAGAAGCCAGGCATGACAGGTCGCTGTACCACGCCGAATCCGACCATGGCACCATGCTGTGCTGTGCATCGGTGTCCGTCTCAGCCCACTCTTCCACCTCCACATGCTCTAATCCAGATCAGCACAAGCGTGCGCTAGTTTCGACGGTCGGTCCGATAAGGCATGCATCCGTGTTCTTCAACGCCTCGCCAGTCTGCACCACTCCTGTCTCGACGTCTGCATGCAAGGCTGGCATGCTGGGAGGGGCAGAGAGGGAGATATCAACGTCTGAGGCAGGTTCCCTCGCGTCGAGGCTAGAAGCCATGGACTAGTTCAAGAAACGTGCGGACTCAAGAACAGTGTTGCTCCTGTTCAGTGACTAGCCGCAGTCGAATTTCGGAAAAACGCCGCTGCAATCTTCCCGAACTGCACCTGCAGCACTGACTTTGGGAGACAGCCATCAGAGAGACGGTTAGACTTCTGACTTCATCATCCCATATCAAAAGATGGTTTCAAGTTGTACCTCGGTATTTCAGCCTCGTCGGCGTTAGGCTATCCGAAAAATTCCACGGGCAATTACCTCCAACGAGGAGGCTGAAACACCAATGTCATTTGCCGTCGGCTTTCCAACAGCACAGTATCGAAAATGACCGCATCGGCAATGCCGAGCATACCGAGTTTTCTAACAAGATACTTGTTACAGCTCAACTGCCGGAGACCAGCACGCCAATTCTGGTCCCGGACAGAAGGAAATCACTAATGACCCGGACCAAATTCCCCACTCCTTGTCCAAACGCCAAACCAGTATCCCCAAAAGCAAATCTCACATAATAGAAAGTCATTATCCAAAAGGCATCGCAAGTGACATGTCCGTAACGCAGTCCGAGCTCGACAAAGGCTCTATAGTTCCGCATTCGGGCAGTTGCCCTTGCATCTCTTGGGCGGGTACCTGACCTCCTTGGCACAGTTACTCGCATGACCGTGGCTCCCCAACTCCCTCGAGGGAACAAACTGTCCCGTCTGCAGGCTGCCCTTCAGGAAGTAGCTATACCAAGCCTCGTGAAGCACGTCGTGCCCGCGTCCGGAGCACCGCAGCACCACGCGGCCGCCGCTCAGGTTCTCCAGCGTCCTTGTGACGTCGGCGAGAGCATAGCGCCTGGAGCTCGAGGGCGTGATGCTGGCCCTCTCGAGCGCCGTGAAGGTGTCGAGTTGGCGGAAGAGGGAGAAGGCGCGGGTGAAGTAGTCGACTACTTCGATGCCAGGGTTGTATGCGGTGTCGTAGCAGGTTGAGGAGAGGGTGTTTATGCAGCTTGCGTGTTTGTTGTATTCGTGAGCCCAGAGGTGGTTGTTTGTGCCGCTGCGAGGGAGGATGTTTGTTAGCATGATCGATGCGTGCTTGAGGTAGGTTCGGCCGATGATGAGTCGGGGGGGACTGCTTGGTCCCGGCCGGGGTTGCACGGGGCCAGGGACGGGGCCGGGGGCGGAGAACGGGGGACGGGTGTGGGGGGGTTTACTATGCTGCTATCCAGTATCTCTCCATCAAAGCCAGGAGGTCATCTTGACCGTAATGCTTCAGGATATCGGTGATGTTGTCAAACTGAGGCGTCATGCCGTAGAAGGCCTTGTAGCTCTCATCGCAGGAATCGGGCCTATCGCAATTATCCCAGTTAAATGTCAATTGTCTTTCGGAAGGGAGGGGAATTGGCAAGGGAACGGTCGATTCTCTCTTTGAATCCAATCCAATCCGATACCATACCAATGACGGGAAGACGAGAAAAGGGATTGTGAAATAAGTTACCATAGTCCGTGAACGGTCCAATCCTCCTCCGCGCCGCCGACATGTACGGTGTCATCCCAGAATTGCGCCAGGAGGACGCGGCCGGAGGGGTAGACATGGCAGCACACGTTCTGGCCGGGGCCGTCGATTGGGCATCTTGGAGCGCCCGAGAGGGGTTCGTAGGTTGTTACTGGTGTTGTGAGGATGTTGTTGGTGCTCGGGGAGGAGGAGAGTGAGGTTTTGGTGTTGGTGATGGGGGTTTGAGTGGTGGGGAGGTGGGGGAGGAGAGAGGATAGATTTTGGAGGAGGGCGCGGAGGGAGGGCGCCATTGTGATTGTAGTTCTCTTATTCCGGGTTTCCGTGTTCCTTTAATCGTTGAGGCTTAGGTAGGTTCAATTGTGCTTGAAGGGAGGGGGAGGATGAAGTGGTCGTGGGATTGGCGGTGGCGTTGGTTGCGATATGGAGCTTGAGCCGTGGGAGCGTTTGTCCGAGGCGGAGCTTGTCTGGGGATTCTGCCGCGTCATATGGGGACTGGCTTTTGGGCTAGCTGTGGCTTGGCGGGCTCACCGCTTTTGAATGGGAGTGTTTCATTGGATGGCGGGCCCTGAGGGTCAATGGGTGGATCCGTTGGTTGTGGGGATTGTGGGGGGCCGGTGACATGCTGCTCGGTTTACGTAGTAGTGTGCATTAGATGACAGATTCCCTGGGCTCTTTGTTGAGAATTATGGTTTACAGTAGACGTTGGGATTGTTGTGTCTGATTCAAATGGCTTGAGGGATACTAATGATATCTCATTTGTCTTCAAATTATTGGTTCAATGACTGGTTAATTCATCGAAAGAGCGGTTGGATTTTAAAAGGTTTTTTACTTCCAAAAATTGCGAGAAGAAAGCGAGAATCAATCAACACGGGAAAACGTAACGAACTACTTACGCTTCCACCCCTTTCTTTTCCATCTTTGATATGTAGAATCTGACGTCTGATTCTCTTTGATGTATATTATGTAAGGTAATTACTACCAGAACCCATGAATTGCCAGCGAAAGCACAGGTGAAGTTGGGTCTGCCCCCGACCTGTTTCATGGGAGACTTGAACCTTCCAGGAGACCTCACTCATGCAGATAGATTATGAGAAACACAAATTGACTAATGAATACTTCAATATCCTAGTCGTGAAATAACTTTCGGGAAATTGAATCTACTGACGAGTCAATGCCAGGTGAAAGGACTGATCAGTATTCACGCAACAGTCATTGCAGGCACACCTCCCAACTGGGAACTACGAATTAAATATTCCTGGGGTTATTCTTCACATTGGATGATTGGTAGGTCTCTCACTCTCAGGTTGTGTCTACTGCTTAAAATTACGAATGTGGCCAAAGTGATTTTGGAATGTGGTACGACACTCAACTTAACATAAAGCAAAAATCAAGATAAATTCTTCCACACACGGGTCATCACTTTGGTCTCATTGTATCCTGATATTGATAAATGCTTATACCTCTGTATTTAAAGACATTATTTTAAAACTGCAAATAAGAAAACATGCTCAAAAAAGCTCTCCTTTCATTCCATCCACCTATGGATTGAGGTTTTGGGTCGGTGCAGGTTGACCTAGTATGGTGACTGTGAGAAGGAAAGCCGGGCCCAGTCCCGGAGAGCTACTGGTGGACGCGAGAGTCGGGCTCGAGGACCTCGTGTCTATTGTGAGGGGACCCGTGGTTGGAATAGTGCTTGTTGTCGAGGCAGGTAAAGTGGGCGCGGCTGGAGTGTTGTTGCCCGAAATCGAACTGTCTGAGGGCGTCACAGAAGGTGTTGAAGGGGAACCAAAGCAGGAGACGTCGAGGAAAGCGGTAGAGTTGCAGAGATGGATCCGCTGCTGGAAGTGATAGCCACTGGAGTAGTGGAAACTGAAGAGCCCGAAGTCGCTGGTATGCTTGAGCTTGTCGCTGGTGTGGTGGTGTTTGAGTATAACACCGAACTGAAGCTGCTTGATGATGTTTCCATAGAGGTACTCGAAACTACCGGGCTTGTCGATAGACTTGATGTGCTCGAGAGAATACTGGCCGGGCTGGACGATGAAGCAGATGTGGTCGAAGTAGAGGAGACAGTCGAAGACGAACTCGAACTCGTAGTGTTGAAGAAATTCGCGTCCAGCTCGTACACGGTATAAACCGGCGCACCCAATTCAAATGGGATTGCACCGCCACAATGCGCCGAAGGCATCTCGCTGCATGGATTCGTGCAGTAGTTGTCGTTCGGAGGATTGCTCGATGAAAAAGGGGTTGTCGCTCCCGGTACCAGGATACTGCAAATACAGAGGAACTTGGACATCAGGGTAATCGTTCGCCTATTTTCCTTGCAGTATTGTTGACATACTGCGGGTCGGTTCGCTACGGTGGGGTTGAAGAGGAGGTCGACGTCGCTGACCATGTCGTTGTCTAGGCGGCCGCAACCTATATACCGTGCTGGTGCGAGCGGGGCCGGGACGAGGGTGTTGGCTGGGAAGCTTATTGTTGATGAGCTTGTTGAGATTGATGTTGATGGAGAGGTCATCGAGGAGGATGAAAATGTTGAAGTGGGTGAAGACGTTGTGAGTGATATGTCTGTGGTTGTCTGAGAGGTTGTCGTTGAAGTTGACGAGGACGTGGTCAAGATGGACGAGGATGTCGACGAGGAAGAAGATGATGTCGTCGTACTAGTACTGCTGGTTCCGCACGTGGTAGTGATAGAAACCGCTTTGTACAGATTGAGATAATTCGGGTCACCGCCACATCTTGCGTTCGAATTGCCCAGGCACACTCTGTTGCAATAAGATTCAGGGACTGGGATGATGCTGGGCTGTGAGGTCAGGGGCACAATCGAGCATCTGCAGTAGTAACCGTCGTACAGGCTTGCGTACGTTGCGCCTATACCGCTGCAGAAATTTTGGCACTTGACAGGTTCCATACGGCCGTCGCCTAGTAGACGACTGAAGACATTGTTGAAGTTTGGGATGCCAACACAGCCGACGTACTGCATCACGCAAGGGACACTGTACTGCGACTGATCCACTTGGGCGTTGGTGACGGCCATTACGAGCAACGCTAGGAGCAGTCGGGCTGCTGGGAATCGCGCCATCGTATTGGCCAACTGCCGTTCGACGTTGATTTGCTGTATAGAAAGAGCGTGGCCAAGCGGATTCTTTACGTAAATATCGTGAATATATTTGTTCGATTCTATGAAGGTGAGATCCCCGGTCAAGGCCTAGAGACGGGAATCGCAGGCGGTTTTCGTGAAAAGCGTTTGAAGGATGAACCGAGACAATTGTTTAAGGGCAAGCTCCTATCTTGAGCGGAGGCAAACATGTGCCTTCGCGCCTCGTATCAAACTGGTGAACATAATCCATATCATGTCTGGCCCGAGGGGCGGGCGTGGATTGTAAATTCGCTTTGGAGACAACATGATTGCCTGCCCAGTAGCTGGAGCCTGGCTTCCTCAGGAATCTGATCTCAAGAATGTAGTGATGTTACAAATTGAGTGATTTGTTACACCAAGGAAATACGTCTGGCAGCCAAGGGAATGGGAGACCGTCTATGCTAGCATGCTGACTTGGGGCAACCTAGGTGGCTGCTCGCCATGGCAAGAAAGGAGAACGAGACAGTCAGAATCTTTGAGGCAGCATTCCTATTTATATTAGCGATTAAGCTTTGGGGATTAACATCGTCAGTTTTGCACCTTTCGATCGATCGACGGATATCGATTTGAAGAGGTGACAATTTATCGAACAAAAACCTTCCATGTCCCGTTAACCTTTCAGCCTAGTGTAATGTACAGACATCCAGAAACGTATTAGGCCTCAAGTTCCTCCCACGATAATCATTTCGGCGAAAAAGGATGCGCGCCTCACTCAAGATGATGTGAGTACTTCCTCAAAGCTGCATGAATATGTACTACATAGACAGCCACAGGCCGAATGATATCTGCCTCCACCTCCTGACAATGATCAATTGGCTTTCAGTGCCTTCTTCTGAGGAGCACGAATGTAGTGAAATTAGCATGACCACAGCGTCGGGACTTTTGGAAGGGACACCATGTGTGAGTCTCCCTACGATTGATTTCCGAGATAGGATTCCCCCTCGGATACTTTACGAATCGCGTCGATTGAATTTCGAAAGCGTGTCTCGGATCTTCAGCCTTCTAGCAAGGGGCTAGGTGGACTTGACCCGGAGAATCTGATAGGATCTTGGCAGGGAAGAATGATGGTCAAACAAGGGGTCCCAGAAATGTCTTGTCTCTGCTGATCTTAGATCACGCACGTTACGCTTGCTGTATGCGCTAGTGAATCTTTGGCATGCCCTCCAGCCTTTGATGTTTGGTCAACATAAAAGAAGCATTGAGTGGAGCGGGAGTTGACCATTTTCAGCTTTTGGGGCCGATGTCCGTTGATGGAACGATGACCGATTGTATTTGAGATCGCGCTTCACTCGGCACTAATTCAACTTGTCAATCGGACTGATCACTTTCAACATGATTGCTAGCTAAATAACCGACTGATTGTCCAAAGCGGGGTAGCTGAGTTGTTGTGAGTAAATCGACAAAACTCTTACTGCGGATCTTCGTATCTCGAGACACAGATGGCGATCCATGGAGAAATGGAACAACGAGTAAACGAACTTACCAAAGGATCAAAGGAAATCTCCCGATCACGCTTGACATGTCTAATGCTAAGAGCATAAGAAACCGCCATAATCACAGCAATCTCAATGTCAGATGCTCGTAAGACTGATGATACATCATGGGAGTAGCGCTCAATGCATTTTCTGTTCCAAATTCGAAGCATGTGATAAGCGAGAACCGTTCCTGTCGTCGTTATCCTCGTCGTCGTCGCACAGGAGTCAGCTTGTCTGGTCTCATCTGATGTGACTCGGGCATAAGCTCGTCTGAATGTCCGGCAATGAGCAGTGAGATTGCTTGGGCCTTGTGGGGAGAGCAATCTTAGGATCAGATCAACTTCGCCTAGAAGTGTATCGTACACTGTATTGACATGGGTAGGGGTCCTCTCAACTGTAGTCAACTGTGAAGTGTGAACACGGTGAACCTTGCAATATCATCTCCGTTACTTCCGCACCTCAAGTTTTCGGAAATTGCATTCACCATACCTGAGGTAAGCGAAGTCAAGGAACTGTACTCCAAGACTCGAGGATGAAAGTCTTCTGACTTCGACATTCAAAAACGTGAAAAGTATCTTTCTCAACTTGTTACATCTCGAATGCCCGCCCGCAGAGCTGCGGAGACCGAGATGCTGTTCTAAGCCTTCGCTAATCTTATCCGATCATTCAGAATGAGGAGTGCATCGTGCAGTGTGGTTACATGCCCGCGGTTCCCCGCAATAACAATGCACTTTCGCGATCGACAGTGAGGCTGAGTGTAGCCGTACGCGTTCGGCATTGCTTGGTGCCCGACCCGACTTTCTGGTACGCCGGTGCTTGGGAAAAGGTGAGTCCCATGGTAGTAGGCAATTTCCAATGAAAACCTTGTCCCGCTTGTGCTGCTGTTTAAATCTTAACCACAGAGCCAATAAGCCAGAAGCTGCCACTCGCAGCTCGCAGCAGAAGCAGAAATGCTGCTTTGACGTGGTTTCAGCTCAGATGATCGTAAGGCCGACCGCAAAACCCGGTTGGATAGTCGCGCTCTTATGCGAGCTTTCAGGGCAAAGCACGCACAGAAAAGACCACTCAGGAAAAGAGTTTCCCCTCCGCCGTTCTCTCGGCTCAGTCAACCGGCGTTTAGGCGGCAGAGGTGTCCACCACATACTCCACTTTTGGCCGGGCGGGGGCCCGCCCTATCGGGCTCGGGCCGCTCGCCCCGCCCGGGCCGACATTCTCTTGAGACACCGTCCTTTCTTTGCACCAGCACTGAGGCTGTGGACTTGAGCATTTTCGGACCGTGCTAGCTGGACTACATTCCTTCGACGGATGGCTATCAATGCGGCACTTTCATTTACATTTACTGATCAATCTGCTCTTCGGATTCGGGTTTTCAGCCCAGTAAGCGAAATGGGATGTTTTGATCAATCTATATCAGTCCAACCTGGAGGAAGCCTGGCTTTACAATGCCCGAACGCCATTCTATTTCTCATAGTCATTGACTTATCATTGACATTGTTCTAGGAACTGAGAATGAATGCCGAAAAGCGGGACGAAAGCGCCATCGTCATCATCGAATGTCCAAATCTCACCTCCTTACACCGCATCTCTGGCTGGAACCGGCACATTTGCCAAAGTCAGGAGAGTAGCCCGAGTGCCGCGCATAGCCTTACCGTCTTAGACTTCACATACCCCGCGCGCCTCGCCGGTACCCCGCAACCTTCATTACAACCTTGAAAGCCTCGATTGCTCTGTACCGGCACGAAGAAATTTCCGAAGTTATTGTTGTTGTACCGCTCTGTTGCGGTTATTGTCGGGTGTTTTACGATCCCATAAGAAGTAATTCGATATGAAGCTTAAGGTCGTAAGATTGTGATGCTTCTCTGCAAGGAGACGGCAGCAACGGAAAAAGCCAATGGATTTGGAGAATCAATGCAAGAATGAGGGGTCCAGAAACCTAAACAAGAAACGGCCTGCATTTTTTACGTGCGACTTGGGGGAAGTAGAGCAAGACGCTACCATGTCCGCGCTGCCACGTGGGATCAAAAGTTTGCTATTCATCGGTAGCATCAGTGGCACATAGCTTCGTGTCATAGACCTGACACTTCGCTCACTTTTTGAGTCTAGCTCGGTTGTCACTTCAAACCGGACCAGTTCCCCAGCTTCTTCCGATGTTGCCGCCGCAGAAGGATCCCTGCCTCAGATCAGTCTTTGAAGCTGCAGACTTGAGTTTGTTGGGACTGATTCTCAGCCTCATGATGGCCCCATGTCCACACGCGGGGAACATGCTCTCTTGAGATTTGCTCCCAACATTGTAACCCCTCACGGACTACTGCACCAATGCTCCTCTCAGGGTTTCAGTGAAACCTACATCGTGAGTCTCTGCAGAAGTGTCTGGGTCGTGCTGACGGGCCCCTCACGGACTCTGGGCACGAAAGAGTCGTCAGCCTTTGACTTCGTCTAGCGTCAAGGTCTGCCTCAGCATCTGAGGCTGGCTCATTTCACATGTGACCGCGAGACTCCAGGTACATTAGCGATACTATTCGACACTCAGACCAATAGTTCGTCCACGTTGCGAGGTGAATGCGACCACGAAGGCCTCGTTGCTGTGACTTGCAGAATCGAATCCGACGCTGGAAACTCTCGACCTCGTGTATGTAGCTGATGCTCTAGTATGCGTCCTTTATTGCCCCGCAGCAGACCATGCGAAACCTTCGCACCGATAAGCAAAGATGCATAACACGTACGAGCTGTTTGAGTTGAGGTTTACGCATTCATGATTCACCTTGCAGAGCCGAAGTTTGAAGCACAATGGGAGAAAAGTGTGATCTTCTAGTCCGTCAGAAAAGGTATAAAGACCCATCGAATGTCACGCAGATCTATCAACTTGAGAATCAGCAGCAATAAGTTTTCAGCTCAGTTCCAAATCTTCAGTACTACCAACGAATCACAACATCTTTGTAGCTTCTTACAACATACTCTACCTAACTTTTAACTTCAAAATGGGCGACATCCGCGGCACCGAGAGAGACAGCAACGTTATTGCTCTTGTCGAGGCTATCCTTGGCCACAAGATCGAGAGCATGTCCGGATCTTCATCTCAGAGCACCATGGAGGACTACGACGACCTTGTCGACATGAACAGGGACCACGAGTTCAGCAAGGATGGTCCCCGTCCCGACTCTCCACCTAAGAACCCTTGTGTCGGTGCCGTCAACCCGTACGCTCTGGCTGAGGCTCTCATTGGCCGCAAGATTGACCGTCACTCGATGGCTGCTGCCCAAATCCTTCAGAATGTTCTTCAAACCGACTACGATGAGCTCTTTGACATGCGCCACCACTCTGTTCTCTTCGCCGGTATGAGGCTGAACGAGAAGGAGAGGAAGGCTGAGATGTACGATGAGAAGGATATGAAGATTCTCAACGAGCGGGATCTCATGACTCCCGACTTCTCGGGTGTCCGCAGACTCGAGGATCTCGAGAAGGTCGGACTCAAGGACCTCAAGGAGGCCAAGGTCAAGATGGCCCGCATGAAGAACGGCAAGCTTCGCCTTGTTCTCCACGCTCACGAGCTCGGTGACACTGTCTCCAACCGCAAGGTCACAATGTCCATCAACGAGCTCGTCACTCCGTTCAGAATGCAGAAGGGCCGCTGGCAGCCACCCAACGCCTCGTGGCGCGACATGTATGACTACTTCTTCCAGAGTGTCAACAAGCGCCTGATCTCCGACATTACCATGTTCCAGCTTGGTGACCGCCGTGAGACCAACCGCCAGTTCGATGACCCCACCCAGGGCTGCTCTAGCAACAGTTGGTTCGTTTCTGCTCTCTTCTCCGTGTTCTGGTCCGACCCCAGCGCCATTAATCGCGCTACCCGCGTCCACACCCACGGCAACGATAAGAAGCGCTTCCTGTCCGTCAAGTTCCACGACAAGGGCGGCAAGCAGAATAACAAGACGGAGACTGTTGATGTCAACTACGAGATCCCCATCAACAACTCTGACAACGAGCCTCTCTACTGCCGCTCCAGTGATGGCGCTGACATCTGGCCCTCGCTCTACGAGAAGGCCTTCGCCAAGTGGATCACTGGCTCCAACTCTGAGCAGCCGGATATCACCCAGACTCACTGCGGTGACCCCATCAAGGCCATGGCCCAGATCAACGGCCGCACGGCTCACTATTACAACTGCGATAACCACTCTTCCCACACCCTTTTGGGCTTGGTTCGCGCCAACAGCGTCAACAATAAGACCATCAACCCCATGACGGCTTACACCTACGCCACCGGCCGCGAGTTCCACGGTGCCAACATCGTTGCCAATCACGCCTACTCCGTTCTCGGCTACTGCGTCATTGGCGATAAGCAGTACATCGTCCTCCGCAATCCGTGGGGTGTCACCGAGCCCCAGGGCCTCACCAGCTACACCGGGCTCCTCGGCCGCCTCGAGCCCGAGATCTGGAATCCCGCCACCCTCCTCGACCACGGCGGTCTCTTCGCTCTTGAGGCTGACTCCTTCAAGCGATGCTTCTCCTGTATCGGTGTTGCCAAGTAAACGTTGCGAAATAAGTGACCGGTCACTTATTTCGCAATGTAGTTCAATAGTAGTTAATTTGGCAACTATGGTTTGGGAGTATGGGTTCATTCGTGTTCTACTCTGCTTTTCATTGTGTCCCAGGCTCATTCTTGTGTCTGAGTCTCACAAAAAGTTGTATCGTGTCGCTGTGCTTTCCGCTTAATGCTACCGGGACTTGGCCAAAGCAGCTGGCGGTGTAACGGAAAATGGCGGAAAACTCAAAAGCAGATTGAAAAGTTGGCTTGGTACTCGTTTGGATAGCAAAATTTAATCTCAAGTTGCCAAGATTGGTATTTTACCTATTATTGTGAGTGCGAAAGTTTGCGGATTTTCAGTGAAGTGTGATGGCCCCCCATTCGTTACCCGCTTGATCGAGGCTATCTTCATATCCATTGATCAAGCATTCTCCGACAAACCGGTAGTGACCGAGAAAGGCTGCGTTCTCGAGATTCAATAAGTCGCAGCCGGAGCGGAGCAGTGACAGAATCTGAGTCTCTTCCACATCCATCACGAAGTGAATGTCGTCCATCGGCCGAACAACAAATGGTACTCGTGCCCCACGTAACGAGACTATGAGATCGTTCCTTCTCGCCCCGGGTGGTAGTATAACTTTCTCAAGCTCTGTGATAACATCGGAAAGTCTATCGTAGGCGCCAATAGTCTTAATTTCAAGTATGCTCGTCCTGTCAGTGACTCGGTTGATGACCTGCTCACCTTCTCCGGACCAGGCAGCTGTCTGTCGCCCTCTAGAGAACAAGTGACTTTCGATTGTGTGTGATCTCATGTCTGGTATATCTTCCAAAGATCGAAGGACGGTTTCCATACTTTCCTCTGGGCCAGAAGGTAGTCTTGGGTCCATGTGGGGTCCTACACAATCTCTTCTGTGCCTGTAAAGAAGAAGCCGAGCCCATCTTGCCATAATTTTCCGACGCAACTCTGGGAGATCATCGCATCGGTTTCTAATTGCTTGGAAAGAAAGTTCGTCGGCTCCTCGAAGTTGGAGGTCAGGTCCGACGTGCGTTATGCTGCCAATCACTGACCCAATCGTTAGGAGAATCTTATTGTCGCTGAGCCACGCCATGCTCTTAGTGGTTATGTCCCGCCGTCTTTCAGTTTCTTCATCTTTCTCTTCACTCAAAAAACTCAGAATTGTTGGAACGATGGGGCTAGTGGTGTCCAGGGGTAGTGAGTCCCCGTTGATATCATAGGCATGCATGGCCTTGAGCCGCTGCCCTCGAGCAACTTGGCTTGCATCCCAATCAGGAACCCACGAAGGCAGCGCTTCAGCTTGACCAAAGCCAAATAAGGAAGAGAAGCCGTTGATTGAGTGGTCAACGTAGCTCAGCATATCCAAACTCTTGTGTTCCTCCATTAGGTAGCAGGCCAAATCAGTCTGTACTTCGGCCGTAGATTTGCCATAATCAACAGCCACCGATCGATTGTCGACATCTAAATTCGTTGAAATCCCTAGAAGGGCAAAGATCTTGTCCCGGGGATCAGATGCTTCAAGCTGACGAGCCCTCACAAGCATATCGATAATGTGTGCACTTCTACCACCATAGTTGGTGACATTCGTGTGCCAGGAAGGTCGAAGTTGGGCCAAATCATGCGACTCTTGGTAGGCGCAGCGGGCCTGAAACATGTCGCGCACAATGTCGACTCTTTCGATGGCTCGCATGCTGTACCCATAGCGATCGTGATACCGCGGATTCAGCAAGATGATCTTGCAGAAATCGTTCCAAGGGATTCTTCGATGACCACACTGTATTGACACTTTCCTCGATACAACGACTTCTTGGAGAACCCAAACACGCAAGAACCATGGTCTTTGGAGGACACTGAGCTCAACATCAGCCACCTCTCCTCTGAAGTGAATCAGATTCTCCTCGAGAGTGGACGGTAACTTCATGTCTTCGTTGCCATCTCGGTTAAGTGCCCATTCGCTCTGTCTTTCGAGAAAATTCCAAGCCGATGATGCCGTGTTGCTTCCGTCATCATCTCCAAGGTAAATAATGGTCTCCAAAGCAGAAGAATAAATGTTGCGCATTTGATAAACTTGGTGGTTTCGCTCCGTAATATCGGTTTGGTTGATACATAGCGCGTCTGCCCAAAGCCGTATTGGCCGATCTCGACGACGAAGATGACGGAATGCTTCGAAAAGGTTTCTCCCAATGTAAACTTCTTGCTCATTGACATAGACAAGCTGAGGATCGCTCAGGTTCCCCCAGACATACGACAACGCTACGTACGACTGCTCAAAAGTAAACGTGGATATCTCTGTCGACAATAGCCCGCACCGAACTTCGGCATCGTGACTAATGGCGGGGTAAAGGGTCAACACCCGAATCGTGTTGGATTGCACTAGAGGAGTATAGATAGTCGACGCATAGGACGGCGGTGAGTATGCAGGCGGATCATCTGCCGGCATGGTCATCTGATAGTGAAATTTTTCGTCCTGTTGCGATGACAGTAGATGGACAGTAAATGGGCAGTGAAACTTCGTGGAACACCAGGGGCTCTGCTTCTATATGGCGCGCATGGGGTTGCATGATCGTTACTTAAGCAGGTCGCGGGCAGCAATCAAACGTCGCTTTCAATGAGTGGTCCGACTAGCTACAGCCTGCAGAATTTCGGCTGGGGCTACCAAGACTGGCTAGGCTAGTAGGATTGGGCTGAATGTGCATGCTAAATCACCTGGTAGAGTCAGAGAAACAAAGTTATTTGCTGCGTAGTGCTTCCTTCGACGATATGGGACTAGTTGCAGACCGGGAAAGTTCAAAGCCGTAGACAAATGATCATACACCATAACAATGTGGAAGGAGGGTCAATTTGCTGCTACGCTTTGAACCCCGCGGTCGCCATCTATCGTAAGAGGTAGACTATCTTGTTATGTTGCTTACTGAAGCGAACTCAAAGAAGTAATCAACACCCAGTTGCATAAAATGACTAAAGCAAGTGATGACAAATTAGCACATGTAAGTAGTGAACGTCGCGTTACAAAACCTGCAAGCGATTATCGGTACAATATCCTGCTAATGCTGAGCTCACGCACATGGTCACGAGATGTTGCCGTTCGGAGGCGAGTTGACTTTTGGGCGTCATCTAAACCAAGCGTAAATTCATAATCTTGCTTCTCAAATGTAATCTTTCGCCTCTTGAAGAACAATATGTTGTCACATGGATGCTAGTCCACGGAGCCGACGTTCATTGACATAACTGGAGGCCGAGTACGGTGCGGTCAATGAAAAACATCTCATAGATCCTCAATACAGCTATAGATGAGATCTTTATAGGTAAAATCTATAGAGATGAAATTAAAAGAGGTGACATATTTCTAAGTATTCTTTTAGAATAAATACTACTAATCAGCTTTGGGAGACACCGCGAGGTCTTGATTCAACCCGCAGAGTGCGAACCAAATCTACTGACCTTTGGTATAGATACATAATATCCGGCGAGATGACCTTGTTGTGCCAGCAAATAATCGCCTTCCTCTTCATCGGCAGTCAGACTGCGCAATTATCTCTTTATTTGATGACTAAAGAGAACCCCTTTGGTTCGCATGCATAGTGCAGACAGATCTAGCCTTTAGCCTGCATCAGACCAGTGGTATGATGTTCCGACACAAGCACAAGCCAACTGCTAAAGTGTAGCAAACACCTTGATTGAGCAGTTGAACAGTTGAACAGTCATATATGTCAACCAACTACTGTTTCTTCTTTCCTTGAAGAGAGATCATTTGCATGTTCTCAAAGTCTAGGTACCAAATGTCTTACCACTCCGAGACCGTGAGCCTCGAGACCGTCAACCGCGGCGAACAAGAAAGCCATGACGAAGCTTCGGGTCGGCCAATTCGCCCTGCAGACAAAGGGTTGTCTGCTTGGCTATTCATACTTGCATCTTTTGTTGCTGAAGCTGTCCTCTGGGGTATGCAAGTTACATAGAGAAATCCTCAATCGCTTTCATCTTGGATACTAACAGAGAATCTAGGCTTCCCGTTGTCGTATGGCGTGTTCCAAGACTACTACTCGAAACATCCTGCCCTCAAACATGACCCAAGTATTGCCGTCATTGGAACCGTCGCTACCAGTGTCTACTATCTCGGCGGACCACTGGCAACACCCTTTGCGGCCCGTTTCCAAGCGTGGCAACGACACATGATTATCGTCGGCTGGCTAGGATGTGCCTTATCGCTCCTCATAGCCTCATTTGCGACTTCGGTACCTGGCCTCATTGCAACTCAAGGGTTCCTCTACGGTTTCGCCTTTCTCTTTGTCAACTACCCACTTCTTCGGATGCTCAATGGGTGGTTCATCAAGCGCAGAGGCCTTGCGTATGGAATCATGTCGACTGGTGCTGGCTGTAGTGGTGTTGGCTTGCCGTTTCTTCTAGAGTCACTCCTTACGAAGTACGGGTATCCAACAACTTTGCGAGCAATGGCGGTGGCACAATTCGTCACTCTACTTCCCATGATTCCCCTCATCAAAGGGCGGCTTCCAGCCTCGAGACGGGGTACGCTGAGGAAAGGCGATTTCAAATTCTTCAAAAGGCCTCTGTTCTACTGCTTTGTCTTGATTAACTTCCTTGAAGCGCTTGGATATTATATACCCGCACTCTACCTACCAACATACGCAACGTCGTTGGGTTTCTCGGGAACGATGGGTGCGCTGGTTCTGGCCGCGAACAATCTCGCCACGATATTTGGCCAGCTTGCCCTCGGCTACATCACAGATCGTGTCAATAACGTTCTCATCCTCGTCTTTGCCTCCTCCTTCATTGCCGCAATTGCGACCTTTTCCCTCTGGGGCTATGCCTCGTCCCTTGCACCGCTCCTCGCCTTTTCTTTGGTGTTCGGATTGGCGACTGGCGGGTTCCCGTGTTTGTGGAACAAGTTCGGATCGGCCCTCTCGGAGGATCCGGGGCAGGTATACAGTTGCATGGCCTTTAGTAAAGGTGTCGGCAATATTTTGACTGGACCGATCTCGGCACCGTTGGTAATGGGCTCTCTCACACATGGCTATGGTCTTGGTCGATTTGCGCCGTTGATCTTCTTCACCGGATCGATGATGTTGGCATCCTCGCTAGCGATTGTAGGCTGGCTACTCACATGGCGGGCTGATAAACGTTGAGCGTTGTTTGCTCAAATTCCTGCACTATCATGTTTCTTGCTCACATCGCGTCTAAGTAGCCAATTGCACCATCACACTCACTAGTTTAGGAAACTCCATCACTCTGTCACAAAATTTACAGAGCCAACACCTTAGAGGCCCATCCAAGTGGGTGACAAAATTGGATGCCGCTCAATACACTCCCTAGCTCTATTTCTACTATCCAAATTACTACTACTACTACTACTACTACTACTACTACTACTACTACTACTGTTCCTATTATATCTATATTGAATTTTGTTAGATGTGTCTATATAGAGTATATAAGAACCAAAAAAGGATCAAAATCATAAGAAGAATAGAAATAGAGTTACCTAGGTACTTCGTGTTGGGCGGTAACCATTGTGTCGCCCATTTTGCCATCTCCTCACTTGGCCCGTCACACTACCACGCAGAATTCATCTCACACTGCGACAAACAGTGAGCTAACACAGAATGGAAGCGGATGTGAAGACCGAGTTGGAAAAGAGGGTAAACGTTGGTGAAAAGCAGGGTATGTGGCCCGGCCCGGCCTAGCTAATTACAAGGGAGGGTCCATCGCGGCTGCAAGTCAAGTTGGTCCGCTGCAGGCATCACACAGTCCTCGTGAGCTTTGTCCTATCACAAGCGTCGGTTGTTTGGAGACCACAGGGATTCTTTCTCGAATGCTGCTTGCAGAATGTCGAACCAACAACGAAGCGCCCGTTGGTCCCGATGGTGCACTCTTTTCAAGCAAACCAACACGAGTCTTGGTGGTGCGATTGCCTGCGCCACCAGCAGTCAAAAGAGGCGGGGTCGCCGGATAAATCTTGTTACTGTTGAAAAGATGTTTGTTCTCTGCAAGTACCCCGGCTTTCTCACCTCATTTTGATCCTGCAGCAATCTGTCTAACTAGTAAAAAGTCTCTTCGTCCAATCCTCGACCACCTTAAGAACGTGTATAATTCGTGTACCTATAGCCTGCGTCAAGTAGCCGACAAGCGAAGGGCCGAGGCGCATCATGCTTGCCAAGGATCAGCCACCCACCGATGGAGACAAACAGGAAAGCCTCCCCCCCACGCGCGAGTACAAGCTTCTGCCGGCGCTTTCGGAGGGGGCTCGGCTGGTCACCAATCTATCGTATTAACATGAATATTACAGCAGCAACAGCAACAACAGCAGCCACAACAATTGGCTGTGATCGATGCAGAAGACGACCTAGAAGAAGAAGAAGAAGAAGAAGAAGACGTGTGAATCCTCTCCCTGTCTGCTTGCGGACTACACTTTGGCCTCAATCTTCTGCTGACACTTTTCTCTTATCCAACAGCTTTTCGACGGGGCGGAGTCTTCAAGTTCCGACACATCAGCGAAGTCAAGAGTGTGGGAGAGCGAGTTCGAAAATGGTCGCACCTACCACTCGGTCAGTTCAGGGAGTACGTACTTGATGCCATTTATATTTGTTGTTGTTGTTGTTGTTGTTGTTGTATTTAACGCCGTGGCGGCCGGGCTAGAGCCCTTACCGCAGACCTCCCGAAGGGTATATGGCGTGGAGGGCCGTGAGCCAAGGCTACCTACTCTACAGTACGTCGTCTCTTTACATCGTCCTCCAAATCATGCCTTGTGGCCACTACGCGTTCTGTCTGTCCCCGGTTCCCGCTGGTGCCCCAGTTTCATTCTTTCCCAAATCGTCCCTTGGAATCGGGAGGTTCTTTGTAGTCCGCACTCACATCTACGTAGGTGTGGATGCTGCTACCGCAGACAGATCTTCTGGAAGAAGTCCGTCACGCGGAGAAAGGCCTCGAAGCCTCGTGGGTCGGTGATTAATCTCTTGAAGTAGGCCTCGAGAGATCCCATAGGGCCTATGGGCTCGGGCATACTGCGAGAGTGGAGGGTCGGCCACCGTTGCCTCCTCGCCAGCGTTAGTCGACAGTAGACCAGGTGGTCCACGTCTTTCGCCTCTCCACAAGAGCACATCATTAGAGCGTCGTCGTGGTTGAAACGTCGGTGATATTGCTCGAAGTCCCCGTGACCCGATCGTGCCGCCAGCAGGTGATGTAACGTAGCCCGCGGCAAGGCCAGTTCAGGAGGGCTGGACAGAGCTGCCTCAAGCCCCAAGTCCGCGTACCGCGGCCTTCGCTCTTTATACCACCATCTCCTGTGCTGGCTTTGTAATTTTTCCCTTGCAAGCCGCTTGATGCCCGCTAGTGTTGCCATTTGACCCATCCGCGCCGGCAGTGTCGTTCCTTCTTTGGCCAGCCGGTCCGCGGCCTCGTTTCCTTCGATGCCCTGGTGTCCCGGGGACCAGTGCGTCCGTATATCAAATATCCTGGCCGCTTCTTGGATTTCGAGGAACGCGTCTTGTGACGAGTCCGGCGCCTTGCCGCGGATGCCTTGTATAACGCTGGTGTTGTCGATACATATGTGGATTGGATGACCGCGATTGGTGAGCAGAGCCCTTCTGAGGCCGGTTCGCGCCCCTTCGACCTCGGCGTCGAACACTTCTGCTAGTCCGAGTCGGCCGCACCCTTGTGCTATGCGTTTGGAGTCTCGGTAGATGACGAAGCCGTACCCCACGGCTCCGTTCGTCGCCCTGGAGCCGTCCGAGAAGACGATCATATGGCTTTCCGGTACTGTCTTTAGCCAGCGCTCGAAAGCTTTCGCAGCCTCTTCTTTGCATTGAACTACTATCTGATCCTGTGAGCTTGGCAGGTACTGTGATTGAAGGAACGCTGGTCTTCCGCATCTTGGCAGAAGTTCAGCCGTCCGTTGTAGTCTCGTCTGTTGCTGTCCCTGCTGGGAGAGCCGCGCGACTAGCGGGTGTCGGCGATCAATCCTCTGTAGTCGGACTGCGGCCCGTAAGCGGACGCCCTCTAAGGCGACTTTGGCTGACGGTAAGCCGGCGTCTCGGAGGAGGCTACTGGTTGGCGTTGTCCTCCAGACAGGCAGAACGGCCCTTGCTGCCGCTGTAATGACGCTGTCGATCTTCTGCACGAGCCCCTTTTGGCCTGTGTTGACGGGTCTTCCTTGGAGAGGCGGATTCGTGTCTGTCTCCGCTTGGCGTCTCGAAGCCGGCTTCGTGATACCTGCGTACCATGTTTCGGCGCCGAAGAGCGCGATCGGCAGTACGCAGGAGACGACGGCTTTTCGCACGGCGGCCGCTGGGAGTCCCCTCTTTGTGTTCGTAAGCTGTCTCAGATGTTGAGCTGCCCTCTTTGCTGCAGCTACTTTTGCGTCGACATGGTGCCGGAAGGACAGTCTCTTGTCGAACCAGACACCCAGCCAGCGTACAGGTTTCGTCGAGGCCTTGACCACCAAATCCCCCGCCCGGACCTCTGGCAGCTCCGCTGGCTGGCCGTGCTTCCTAGTAAAGTGGATGACCTCGCACTTGCTCGGGTCAAAGGAGACCTTGTTCTCCAAGCCCCATCTGAGAATGCCGGCTGCGCTTCGGTTGAGTATTGCGACGTTGCTCTCCAGGGAGGGGCTGATGGCCAGAGTGGCGATGTCGTCCGCGTACCCGAATCGCGCGTTCGGGTCGTCTTCAAGTATCTCTGCGATGTAGAGCAGAAAGGCAATGGGAGATAGTGGTGACCCTGAGGCAGCCCGCATGACAGCGGGAAGTACTCCGTTGTGCTTTCTTCCAGTCGGACTCTAGCGGTGCGGTTGCAGCAGAAGCTAAAGATCAGTCTGGTCAGGCCATGTGGCCATCCCTGCTGACGCAGTCTAATGACGAGCCGGTTCCGAAGGACGGAGTCGAACGCCCCTTTTACGTCCATAGTCAGAAGTGTCGCCGTGAGTCCTTTTAGGAGGGCCATCTCGATGTCGTGGGTGAGGCAGGTCGTCAGATCGACGGCTGACCTGCCTTGTAGAGCCCCGATCTGTTGCGGACTGATGATGCGCTCGACAATCGCCAGGGACGCCATCCTTCTGGCTATCAGTCGCTCTAGTCCCTTGCCCAGGCACGAGAGGAGCGCGATCGGCCGCCAGGACCCGGGCTTGGAGGCATCCCTGCCGGCCTTCTGGATCATGACCACCTCAGCTCTGCGGAAGGGCAGAGGAAAGTGGCCGGCCCGCATACAGGACTGGAATAGCTGCCTGACCGGTTCCGAGATGACATCCCAGCATGCCTGGAGGAGGCGTGTTGTGATGCCGTCCACACCAGGGGTCGTTGTCTTTGTTAAGGTGGCCGTCTTCACTTCTTCTCCGCTAACATTGTCCTGCCAAGTAATCGCTCGCCTCGGGACGACGGGTACGTCAAACGGGTCACCCGGTGCGTCATCTTCCGCACTAAACCTGTCGAGAAGGGCTCCCCGAAGCGCTTGAGCCTTTTCGTTAGTATCCTCGATCGTCTGGTTGTCCACAACCAATGGGGGTGCTCTGGTCAGTAGGCTCGCCTTCCGCCAACCCATGATCTGGTACAGGTCCCGGTCTGAAGCGACTCCATCGATCTTTCCGGCCCAGTATGCTCGCTTAGCCTTCCTCACCGTGCTCAGGAACGCCTTTCGTTTCTCCATTAGATAAAGGTGCGCATCTTGCTCCGTCTCCCAGGCTTGTTGGTTGCGGGCAGCACGGTATGCTCTGTGGGCCTCTGCGCATCCTCCGTCCACCAAGCCGCGCCTTTACCATGTTTTCCTCTCTTCTTGCCGACCGCCTCAATGGCTCGGGAGAAGAGCTCGACGATGTGACTTGCCTGCCCGTCCAGGTCTTCCGGAGTAGGTTGATCCCCCAGATTGGGCATCGCAGCTAGCCCCCCTTCGATCAGGTCTCTCAGCCGAGGCAGCGCCGAGTCGGGCACTGACAGTGGCCGTGGCTGCGGGTGGCCCTCTCCCTGTGACACTGGGCGTTTGAGTAGTGGTATGACGGCCACGATGGCCTCGTGGTCAGCTCCCGGGTGTAGCTGTGGGCTGACCTGCGCGTGCGCAAAAGGGATATTAGAGAAAGCCAGGTCCAGGACATGTCCGCAATCCTGGGTTGCCACCCCAACTTCGCTGATAAGAGAGAGATTGTGGCCGTCTGCCCAGCCTGCGATGTCATCTCCCCGGTTCCCGTTCCTCGTCCCGGGCTCCCAAGAGTAGTGATGCGCGTTGAAGTCACCCGCGATCAAAGCTCGCTCCGGGGGTTTGAGTTCTAGCAGTATCCCTGTTGTGCGGCTGTGGGGGTCGCGGGGTTGTCTGTACACGTTGACGATAGTCGTCGTTTTGTCGACCACCAGCCACAGTACGTCTCTCGTGTGGACAGGCCTCTGCTGCTCCACCGTCATCCCTATCCCTTTGCGTGTGTAGGTCAATACTCTTGGTCTGGTTCCTTCGCTGTCCCAGAAGTCGACCGGGACGAAAGAGTCGAAACCCGGGTGCGTGTTCAGTTGCACGTTTCCGTCCTTCCAGCCCGTCCAGGGTTCCTGGACGAGGACCACATCTATCTGAGCTCCCAGCAGAGCTGCAGGAAAGCCGTGTGCGCCGGGGAGATCTTTCCGACGTTGCCCTGCGCAACGCGTAGCATCCGTGGGGTCGCCGCTCTCGGCTTACGTCTCCGAGTCGAGTTCGAGGTGGGTGTAGGCATTCGCGACGTTGTAGTTTGGCTTCTGTGCTGCCCGTTGGCTCCTGCTTGGCATGGGTAGCACGGGACGGTCGATGGAGGTGTTGTCGGGGGAGTCTTCGCCTTCGCCTTCGTCCGCCTCGTCTTCATCCATGCTGCTGCTGTCAGTGCTTCCGTCACCGAGGCAAACGATCGAGCTTGCGGAGGGCGTTCTCGTGCGCGCGCGCTTGGCGCCGGGTTGCTGGTTCTGGCTGGTGGAGGTAGGGACGCCTGCCGCCTCCTGGCTACTGGTCGGATCGAGTAGCCTTGTACAGAGTGTCCGATGCTTTCTGGCCGGCCTTCCGGATCCGAGCCCGCTCCTTTCGACCGGGAAGGGAGACGACGCCGTTTACGGCCGAGGGCCTCGCTGGGCAGTCTGTGTGGCTGGCTTGGAAGGGGCCGCAGCAGTTGGCACATTGGGGCCTGGCCATGGCAGGGTCCCGTTTCGTGTGAATCGGAAGGTCTTCCGCAGTTGCTGCAGATCGGTCGTCGTCCGCAGAACCGGTTGGAAGTGGTAGCCCGGCAGGCC